TTAAAGATAATACCACCGAAGAAGAAATAAAAAGGAGGGGCTTCCACTTTCAAAGTAACACAGTTAAAACATTGGCAGATTTTCTAGAGGTTTTTTAGTCGGGTTAGAAACAATAGAAATAACTAAATAAAAACATCTGGTCTAATTGTGACAAAAGAGAAACACAACCAGGTTACAGCAGCACCAAATACCCAATAAAATCATTCTATGAGCCCTTTAGCAGCAGCATGCGACTGGGCAGAATGGCAAAGTGGTTGCTGATTGGTGGAACTGGTCTGACGTCATTCGATGGGCGGGTTGTTGTATGACCACTTCATTATTGTAATATTATGACTGTATTCTGATAATATTACGACTTTTTTTCTTGAAATAAATAGATCTCTAGCCTGGCCCTAATACTCAGTTTTGTTACGTTAGGAATATTTTCCATCAGGCATCGACACAGCCACCTACGCTTCAGTAATCTGCAGTGAGCATAGCTAGCTTTAGCTTAGCATGTTGATCTCCTCTAATGAGTTTTCCAATCAGCTGAGGCTCCAACCCTCAGTCTGCATCCTGAGGGAATCGTTTCTATCAGGTGTTTCCTACCTATCCGGTGTAAGATGATCTGGGGGATCCTGGTGAAATCCAGCAGTCTGTGCTGATCGTCCATCTCCACGTTGGGCCTTTTCTCTCTTCCTTTAACCTCCGTCAATGTTTCTTCAGCAGGAGTTAACTGCTCGCTGATAAACTCTCCTTGAAGCTGGACTGAACACATTCTCCCTGCAAACACTCACACATCATCAGCCTCTCTACAAACACTCCACGGAGGAAGGAAGCTAACGCTGCTAGCTGATGGTGGATCCAATGTTACCAAGTCCTTAGCAACAACAGTCGCTATTGGCTGACCTAAATTACGTCATTGTCCATTTTCCGGAAGGGGGGGGGCTGTCTTTTAAAACAGCAGAGAGATAGGACAGACTTTTTTATTTTTACAGAAATAAGGAAAGAAAAATAAACATAATTCAACAATTTAGTTCCACACTCCATGCAATCTGTGGGATAAATGCAGCAAAAATATAAATAAATAAAAAGTAGAAGAAGAAAGCTACAGTCCAAAAACACCATGAAATAATGTTTCTTTGTAATGTTTCTTCTATATTAAACCTCTCTTTATTTATTTCTCTCCTCATGACTCTTCTTCATATTCCTAACAACTTAATATTACATGTTCTATTGATTCCTCCTCTCCACAATATTCAGCCTGCTTTTGTATTTTAAACAGTGTGGAATTAATTCCTGTACGTCCAAAACTTAATCTTCTAATTAATCTTATCCATCTCCTGACAAAATGTATGACATTAACAATTGGACACTTTGTGGAGCAACAATCCATGTAGATCAATGTGAAGTAGTTTGGGCGAGGATCAGCAAGGTGAACAAAAAAAAAAAAAAAAAAACAGCTTCAGCCACCAGTTCCAAATTCTTCTGATGATTTTTATTTGGTACTTTTAACTTTCTTCTTCTTCTTCTTGTAAGGTTTTATGGCGGCTGGCACACTAGTTGAAGTGCATTACCACCAACTGATAAGGAGCAAAACAAGCAAACAGGAAAGAAGACTCACCCCCATAAACAAAATATATTATTATTATTATTGTTGTTGTTGTTATTATATTTTCCAAACTATTTAACTTAACCCAACATAATTCTTAATCAAATTCGTCCTCATAATTTCTAATTTATCATTAACTTATCGTCACTCTGCCAGTTTCTGATGGTCCTACTGGTTTTCCAATCATACTTTCAACCGTTTTCCAGTTTAAATCTCTAACTTCAAAATTCATTTCTGCAGCTTTCACTATTATTTAGATTTTTTTTTTGTCATCTGAGCACTACAGTTGATCACTTCTACCATGAACAGAACAAAAATTTTCTTTTTTACAATCAATGAATCTTCTGCAGTGCTGGGTCTCTCCTCCAGAGGTTTTGAATTTGTCATGTGCTGAACTGTTGGTTTGGGTTTTTCTGACTCGGAGGGATTCCCTTTTGCAGCGTCAGCGGAAGTTATTCTGAGCTCAAATTTCACTTTTCTGATCTTTTCTGATCTTTTGCTCACCTCACAGCCTCGATATGCAGCAGTTACAGCATTTGATGCACTTAATATTATCAGCGTTTTGATGGCATTTTAGCAAAAGGATTTTAATCAAAAACATAATTAATGAGCACAAATAAGGAATAGTTGTATTAACCATACATGTAAACAGAGTTTTATGGGAACCCCAGGAACTTGGGGGCCCATGCAACTGCCTAGTATTGCCTGATGGTAAATCCCCTCTTTTGCAGACACACTTTCTGCTCCAAGACCGTAACTCCTTGACCTTCTGTTTAAGTTATCTCAAAAATCCAAAACATACAACCAAGCAGAGATAAATGCTTGCAACCCTACAGTTCTAAACTATAACAGGATCTAAATTTCAGTGTGCAAGGAGCGGCCCACCCTAAATCATACCGACCCCTACAGTAAATAACTCTCAGAGCTCAGGAAGTATATATAGCCCTTCCTTGTCATGCTCATCCTTGTGACGGTTGCATATGGTGTCATTTTCTATTTGTTCAAACTGAAAAATCCTTGCAACAAACTAAATTATAATAAAACTAAAATGCTTTCTTTGAACCAAACTATGATGTTCCTCTTATATTTGGGGAATTTATTTTCGAATATTTTGCAAAAATATGTTGCGGTGCATGATGGGGTTTTGCATCTAAAGGCTAATGTTTCCCATCTTTCATGCATTGTTGCCAGGTTGGGATGTTTATGGCTGTCTATGGGTAAAAAATGTTTTTCTTTAGATTTATGGCCTAAGAGATCAATAGACTTTGGTTCAAAGTGAGCGAGATTTTGTATATCCAGGAGGTTTATAAAAAATTTTTGGGCTGGAAAACATGAGACAGTGACATTTGGCAACCCTGCTGATGTGGTGAGTGTGGACGTTACGCAGCAGCAGTCACTGTGGCGTCCGCGGTGGGGGGGCTTTTGGAGTCAATAATTAGGCCGGTGAACATGGAAAAATGCCAGGGCCAAAAATCGTTCCCCAGTCCGATCCTGAACTACACTTACTTTACATTCTTCAACTTCCTTCCTCTTTCCTGCTTTCTGTCATCTTTCCTTTCTCACTTGAAGCTGAAAGAATTGCATTTTCTGGGGTTTCAGTAGATCTTTTCTTTTTAGCTTTTTTAAATAAAAAACATTAAATCCTAGTTTTAATCAAACTATAGCACTATGACATCATGCGGTGATCAATGAATATTATGAAAGAGAAAGAGCCTTCACCTTAATATCTCCCCACAAACCCGGTTACGTATGACTTTTTAATTTCCCATCTGATATTTTTCCATTTCACACAGACAGCTGTATACTGTAGAGTCTTCCGAGCCAGGGTGAACAGATCATGATCTCTGCTGATTTTTTTCACTACTCTCCCTGTGTTCCATGAATTGAAACACTGTCCCACGCTTGACTGGGAAAGATTATACAAAAGTTATAAAGAAAAGAAAAAAACAACCAGCGCAGACCAGAGCCTCACTTCATGACCAGACTGCTGCACAGCATCTCAAACTAGAACAGAGATAGGATTTTAATAGGCTTATAAAAAAAAACCATAATGGGAAGTATGTTTGAAGAATAGAAAAAACACAGCAGTAAAGGCTGTGGGACGGTTTATACATGTCCTTGGTGAGGCAGTAAGAGGGGACTCAGAGCTATCTGCAAATTTTTATTTTTTATTCATAAAGGGGAGGAGTGATAAGCTGCAGTACCTATACACTGCCTGCCCCTGTTATGTTATTTCTGAGGCTATAACATGATCACTTGTTTACTATATCCTTTTTTGGTTCTTTTGAACTCCTATTATAAGTATTCTTCTTTTATGTTTTGATTGTTTATGTCCATGCTGCCCCGCTTGCTATAAACTTGCTCTGCGACTCCAGACCTGACAGTTTTCGCTCTTAATTTTTATTTTCTTTTAAAATATAAAAATTTTGGTCAGAGCTACACAAGCCCCTTTTCAGAAAATCATGTCAGATGTGTTTATCCATATTGACTCTAAAGCGTGCTAAAGGCCAAAATCTTGTACAACACAATTTTCTGTCGGATCGGAGGCAAAATTGGATTCAGTTCGTTCAGGGCTTAACATAGTAAAGTTGAAGGTTTACAGCTCAGGGTTCTGAGGAAGAGAAAGCAGCCCTTGATCTGATAACAGAAACTGGATCAGCTGGATTAAACCAGTGTTTTTATACTGTCAGGTCTAAGCACCAAAAACATCAAACATACATACAGGGAAAGAAAAAGGCACAGAGACAATTAATTTAGTTTTACTCGCGAGGAGAGTAGGAAGAGACCGCACAGTACAGATCTCCACCCCACTCTGGCGGTCTCCGCGTTCTCCTCGCAATGTATTGAAGTCAGGGGTTCCCTGCTTACAGCTAAGACTGCACTAAGAGAAACAAGATAAGGAATTCAGGCTTGCAGTCTCAATAAACATGTCCTCTAAATCTCAGGGTTCAGTCAAAGTTTAAGCTGTTGAGCTGTTGACCAAAGTGCAGCAGGTTTAATGCTGTTCGTAAATCAACCACAACCTCCCCAAAAGCAAGTCCACAAATCACAGTGTACTTTAGAAAAGTTGGCTTTGATCACATGAACATAGCACACAGCTTTATGCATTATAACACTACACAGATACATTAATATACAATTATTCTAACATATACCAAATAAAATATAAGTTAATTTAAAAACAAGAATGTCAAAAAAGCTAAGTACAGACTGGTTTGTTAGTTTCTTGTGTTTTGGGTTTTCATTTAAATTGAGACTGCACACTTAGAAATAAACAGTAGTTTCTGTTTCTCAATCCTTCAGAACATTGTTGCTCTGCAGTTTAAATTATACGTCGTCTGCTTTGTGTCTAATGTAGCTGCAGTAGTGGTGCTTCAAAACCTTTTTGGCAGGAAGTAAATGACAGGTAAGGAAACAAAGGTTCTGCCAACAGCGACACAGGGAAAGCTTTCATTAACAAAAATATCCCAGTTTGTTAAAACAGCGAGGAACATCACATGGTAAGTCTCTTTCTTAGTTTTATATCCCCATGTTGTTCTTTTAGATGATCTGACAGCTTGGTTGACCTGATCTAAATGCCTTCCAGCAGCTCTGAGAACCACCATGTCTGCTTTATCGCTCTTCATCAGCTGCGTTCTCCTGTCAGAAACCGTCCTCTGTTGGTCTCGCTGTGAGTTCCTCTGACTTCCTTCTGTAAAAAAGTTTTGATAAAACAACACTCGATTTGAAAAAAACACAACAATGGATAAAGTTTCTATGTTTTTTATTCACCCACTGATTAATAATTGATTTCTTCTGATTGGTTCATTGGTAAAACTTTACAACAAGGTACACAAACTTTTATAAACTACTTTAGAATCCCTTGGGAACTAATCAGAAACTAATGGGTGGTTAACCAGTACGTACTGTGGAAAACCAAGCCCAGCCATGTTTTAGGACTACTGTATAGTTACCTGGGGAAACACAGAATAATTCAGCAGGGTGGGGGGGATTCAGCCCCCTACATCTTTTGCCAAAAACAATATTTTTTAAAGATGTTTGCAAGGAAAATGGAGCTTTATTCTGAAATTTCATGAATTATTTTCCTATCATTATTTTCTTCTAATTATCCACTGCAGTATTGGGAAGTCCCCCACCAGCCATTCCTTCTAACCAGTTATGCAACTGATGCAGTTTCTCAGAAATTTGTAAGGCTGCTATGCATAAGGCCGGTAGTGCTGCAGGTGGAGACAGGAAAATACAGAACCTGGGTCTTTCCCTCCATACACAATCAGGCAGCAGCTCCATGACTTTACCATGAAGGGTACAGCGGCTCTCACCTGAAAAAGCCGTCTCAAGATGCAGGAACTGCTCTAGATTGAACAGAACTTTAGATCGACCTTACCTGCAAAAGCCTGAGAAGGCGTTCATAGCTAGGAAGGGCTCTGCCCGAGAAAAAAGCACAGCAGTGTGTGTCATGAGTTTGTTCCGTATCTTTGTTTCTTTTTTTGTTTGTTTGTTTTTACAGCAATAGTGGCTTGTTTTTATGGACAGTAGACTGACAGGAAATATAAAGTTTTTTATCCTTAATAAATAAATAACAATATCGTTTTTACTTATTGAATTAACTATAAAATATGTTTCCCTAGTTTACAGAATACATTACTTTAAAATTTTACATTTTAGCAAGGACCTCATTGAGTTTGATCAATCAAGACTTTATATACATACAGACACACACAGACACACACACACATAAAAAAAAAAAAGAACTATTCCTCACCCACGCGGATGTTTGTATTTTTTCTTCCCAGCTCGGGTCCTTGCAGTATCTTTGCTGTCCCTAGAACTGCATTCTTCTGGACTGAGATGTCTGATGTATTTCCAGGGATCTGCTTTAACCACTCATAAAGTTTGGGGGTCACAGCCCCGAGAGCCCCAATGACTATAGGCACAACTGATGTCTTGACCTTCCAGGTTTTCTCCAGCTCCTCTCTGAGACCCTGGTATTTCTCTTGTTTCTCATGTTCTTTGTTCCGATGTTGCAGTCACTTGGTATTGCTATGTGAAACCACAACGGCTTTCCTCTGTTTTTTCTCTACTACCACAATGTCCGGTTGGTTTGCACTTACCATTCGGTCCATCTGTATCTAGAAGTCCCAGAGGATCTTTGCTTGATCATTCTCTACCACAGTGTTTCCCACTTTGACCTTGGTGTTTCCAGCCCATTCTGTGCAGAGAAGTTCCTGTACACTATTCCAGCCTCTTGGTTATGGCACTCCATGTAAGCTTTCTCTGCCAGCATCTTACACCCTGCAGTTATGTGCTGGATTGTCTCAGGGGCCTCTTTGCACAGTCTGCTCCTGGGCTCTTGTCTAGTGTGGTAGATCTTTGCTTCTATTGCTCGGGGCCTGCTCCTGTGCAGCCATGATGAGTGCCTCTGTCATTCAATCAGGCTTTGTCTAGCAATTGGTAGGATTTCCTGATATCTGCCAATTTGGATGTGTTTCAGTGATATATCCCGTGTAGGGGCTTATCCTCCCATGACGGAACCTCTGGCACCTCATCTTCTGTTCCCCATTTTCTGACACATTCATTAAGCACGTCTGTTGGAGCCTTGTCCTTAATCTACTTATGGATCTTGGTTGTTTTATCCTGGATAGTGGCTCTGACACTCACTTGTCCTTGACCTCCTTCCTTACAGCTGGCGTACAGTCTCAGGGTGCTGAATTTGGGGTGGTACCCTACGTGCATGGTTAGGATCTTTCGTGTCTAACATCTGTGGCCTGAATTTCATTTACTGTCAGGGTGTAGCTGTTTATTTCCCAAGACTTATTCTTGTCATTGAGCTGGCTCCCTAGGACCTGCCTTACTACTTGGAGATATTTGGCCGTACCCGCTTTCCTTATCACCTCTTTGATATTGCTATTTGCTTGTGGGATTCCACTCAATCAAATCAATCAATCAACTTAATTGTAAACAATAATTTACATTGCAGGCGGGATTTCAGTTTTAGTACAAACCATTCATCACTGTGTTATTAAGATATATATATATATGTATGTATGTATGTATGTATGTATGTATGTATGTGTGTGTGTGTATACAATATATATGGATGGACCCCCAAATAGACAGACCCCCACTCATCAATTCTTTTGATGTTGTCCCGGGCCCAGCCAAAGAAGTCAGCTCGCCTGCTTTTGGCTACACAAAAACAAATCCAGAACTTGAGACAACCTGGGAGACACAGGAGACAAGGATTTAATGCTGGGAAAAAGTAAGCGGTTGCTAGACAGAGGCCTCTAAGCGAACCAAACAGGTTTACACTCTGGCTTCAGGATGGTGTTCTTATAGTGCAGCTGCACACAGCCGAATGAGCTAAAAACATAATGGGAACCATGTTTATAGAAAAGGAAAACACAACAATAAACGCTGTGGGATGGTTTCTGTGAAGACTGAAAGTGAGAGTGCTTGTCAGAGAGAGATCTAAGGAGTTTGTCACAGTTCGGTAGAGGTTTTTGAGGACCCGAATGCAGAGATCAGAACCGTGACTTTTTTTTAACAAAGAGGGGAGTGATGAGCTTCACTTATCTGCTCTATCTGCCCCTCGTTATGTTGTTTTTTGTGAAGTTTAAAAAGGATCACTTTTTCACTATATCCGCCTTTTGTCCTCTGAAACTTCTGTGTCATGAATTTTTTATTTATTTTTTGAGGAGAATGATAAATGGCGCTTTCTGTCCCCCCAAACACCAGACGTCGTTTAAACTGTGGTTTTTAGGCTAAATCTGGTTATGGTCTTAATTTAGTCCAGAAATACATGTGGAAAATTGGGCCGCGTTTGGTTGGTCTGATTTTGTCCCAATAGTTTTTCAATGTCTTTTCAACAACACTCTTTTCACCTGCACTTTTTAACCAAATGTAAACTTAGTTTTTATGTAAACCATGTTGTCTTTGCAATGTCTTTTCCACAATTATTTTTACTTTGTGGGGTTCCTCTTTGTTTTTACTAGGCTCAAAGAGGATCACTACTTTATTTGTTGTCTTTCCTCCTGAATTCCTATTATTGGTTAAATATTCTTTTCCAAAAAAATGTTTCATAATTGTTTTTGCATCAGTCTGTCCTGCTTGCCATATACGTGATGTGCAACTCCAAAAAGGGACTATTTCCGTGTGTTATTAACAGGTTTTATTTTGTATGCACCCCCAAAGCGGATGTGTTTTACTTTGTAGCCATGTCTCTCTTCCTTTTAGAAATTGCCCCTGAATTTCTGTGTACTCTGACTAAAATAGAGTTGGAGTCTATCTCAGTTGGACTACACCCCTTTTGCAGAAAATCATGTCGGTTTGTCATGATCCCCATTTTTTTTTTTTAAATGAGGGTTAAACGCCACAACTTTGTACGACACGATTTTCTGTCTGATCAAACAAAAATCTGATTCGGTGTGTTCTGGGCTTTAGTTCCTGTTTAGTTACTCTTTGTTTCCTTGGTAACTGCACACTAGTACCTTATTAGTAACTCAGGTAACTAAGCAGTATTGTCATAATAAGATTGGGCTAGGTGTTCCCAAGTAAGTACTGGTTAACTACCCATTAGTTTTTGTTTTTTTTCTATTGGCGTTTTCTAGTAAATCAGATTTTGTGTACCTGGTTATCAAGGTCTCATTTTATACAATAAACTGATGGGATTCTATATAGCAATAAAACTGACATAAACACGTCTAGTAGCCATATATAAGTGTTCCCAGCCTTGCTGGGTAATCACATTCAGCCTTGATGTACATCAGTAAGGAATCAGTTGCCTCAATATGGGCAAACATTTTCCAAGTTTGTATATAAAATCTAGCAGGAAACAACAACTGACTGAGGAGATGATAAAGACATTGGAGCAGCAGACATTTATATCCACTTGATTTATTTTGACTTTTTAGAAACGATAATCTCAGAGCACATAACTTAAATCTGCTTTAGCTCCTTTTATTTATTAAACTCATTATTCTTACGATGAAAAGGGAAATTATACAACTTTATACAACTTCCTAAAATCATTCATAGTTGATAAACAGCAGGACAACCCAACCTGAGCCTCACACTGCAGGTGATGGTAAAATACACTGTGTGCAGAATTATTAGGCGAATGAGTATTTCGACCACATCATCTTTTTCATACATGTTGTCCTACTCCAAGCTGCAGAGGCTTCAAAGCCAACTATCAATTAAGTAAATCAGGTGGTGTGCATCTCTGTAATGAGAAGGGGTGTGGCCTAATGACATCAACATCCTATATAAGGTGTGCTTAATTATTAGCCAATTTTCTTTCCTTTTTCAAAATGGGTCAGAAATTAGATTTGACAGACTCTGAAAAGTCCAAAATTGACAGATGTCTTTCAGAGGAGTGCAGCAGTTTGGAAATTACAAAGCTTTTGAAGCGGGATCATCGCACAATCAAGTGGGTCATGGCAAATAGCCAACAGGGGCGCAAGAAGGGTGTTGGAAAAAAGAAGACGCAAAATAAGTCCCCATGATTTGAGAAGGGTCAAGCGTGAAGCTGCCAGGAAGCCATTAGGCACCAGTTGTGCCATATTTCAGAGCTGCAACATGTCTGGAGTGCCAAGAAGCACAAGGTGCCCAATATTCAGGGACCTAAACAAGTGAGCTGAGTAAATATTTGTTTTTTATTATGTTGCCTGATAATTCTGCACAGTAATATTAACCTGCACAAACAGACATCCTCATAAAACGGCCAATTCTGGAAAAAAAAAACAAAACAAAAAACACACAACTAAGGAGTCTTTTGGGTTGATTGAGAAGAGAATTGTGGACCAATAATAAAAAAATAAGTCCCCAAAAATACAACTTCCTAATAATTCTGCACACAATAGTCTAAGGCCAATGTTTCACTTTTTAATGAAATGCAGACATGTTTTTGCTTCAAAAATAATATAACATGGATTATTAAGTTAAATTAACATTTTGTTTGTTTCCATTTTCTCAGATTTGATTAACCATTTATAATCGGGCATGTGAGTGATGGCTCCTGGTGTCCATGTTTTCTCTCTGAAACAATTTTCTACTTTAACCTTTACCCTTTCTACTGTCTTTGTGTCCTGCAGTTCATAAAAATGCTCGTGCTGAAGCTGGACAGAATGTAACTCTGCCTTGTCAACTTCCTCTCAACAACACCGTCTTAGATGTGGGGTGGAGAAGAATCGATTCAAAGCGAGACAAAATAGTCCTTAGATATCAAGATGAGAAGATTGATGAATCTATACAGAGTCCTTACCTGGACCGGGTGGCCCTAAAGGACATCAAGAAAGGAGATGTCTCTTTGGTTCTGGAAGACACAAGAACTAATGACAGTGGATTCTATGAGTGCATGGTGTATTACAGGGACTTCAATGAAGCAGACCGTGGTCTGTTGTGCATCATCTGGTTGATTGTCTTTGATTCTTCTCCTACTCCTGTTCATCTTTCAAGTAAGTCTGTTTATTTGTTAACAAGTGGTTCCAGTAGCTTCTTGGTGCTAGAATGGGTAAGATCTTTGTGGTCTTTCAAAAGATGTTCTAGAGGGGAAGTTCATCTATCTAACACCTGCTTGTCCTCTGCAGGGGATGAAAAGGAAGAGGATGAAGGGAACAATGATGATGAATATGAACCAAATAATGGAGGAAACATGACTGAACATAACAAGTTTGAAGAAAATAAAGTAGTAAAGGAAGTAAAGAAAGACATTATTATAATGCCAATTTTCTTTGTTATAATTATCTCTATAGCAGCTTTTGTGGTTTATAAATGTTTTGTTAGAAAAAAAGAGGCCTGACTTAAAGGTGTGGTATTCTCACACTGAGTTACTGTAAACAGTCTTATCTGGACAAATATGGGATTTACTTTGCCATTTCTTGAGCTTTAACATTACAAATCAATTCAGGAATATTTTGTCACCTGTAAGACAATTCTTCACCGTTTAGAAACAAAAACATGACTGTTAGAATAATTGGCTTCTCTAAATTGTCCTTAGGTGTGAGTGTTTGTGTGCCTGGTTGGACATTTTTGTATTTCTGTGTTGTCCTGCGGCACACAGCCGACCTGTCCAAGGTGAACAAGGTGCAATTCTTCTGCCATTTGACTGGGAAGGGCCATTTCGAATGGCTGCTACTGTATACAAAACGGTCAGAAGATGGCGACACATTCAAGGAGTAAGGTTGTATAATCACCACTATGTCTATTCATTTAAGATGTTTCAAATATGGATGTTTATCAAGAATAATGATGTAGGAGCTGATTCTATGAACACAACAATTTTTAAAGAGTGTGTAGACCTTTACATGTCAGGCAAAAATTGTGAAATGCGGTGAAACTTGTAGCAGGATGTCTGATAATCCATGTATGCCCTATGAAGCTTAGATGATGAGGTGATCACCTCTTGTCCTTTACATGGAAATACAGTATTCCACAGAGACCATGAGATGCATTTTTGAACAGTAAAAGAGACAAGCTTTTGTTCTTCTGGGTACTACTACCTAGAAAAAGCATGGGGGGGGGGGTATAAAAAAAAAATTTGAAGTCACATGATTATCTGAAGAGGATTTGGTAAAAGAAAAGGGTTTCAGATTGAGCTAGAAGAAAGAGAAAAAAAGAGGATTCAAGACTGACCAAGATGGGCCTGAAAAGAAGAAATTTATGTCCAGGAAAAAAGATTACAGACTGGTGAAGATGATGTCAAATCATTTACAGCTTTAGGCTTAGTGAGAACAATCAAATCTGGCATCCTTTTGTCCATTACAGTTAGATGCTGATTCTAGGACATTGCAGGTAATTGAAAGAAAGATAGGCTGCAACATCATCTCATTTTCCATCATCTCTTTTTTAATCTTCTTTTAATCTTCCCTGAATTACATCGGATGCATCTGAACCCCATTTTATAAAGTCATATAACAATTCAGACAGAAGTCATGGGAAAGCCATCCATCCATTAAAAGACACGCTTGTCCCGAGGGGTGCTAGTGTCTATCTCCAGCAGTCAATGGGCGAGAGGCAGGGTCCACCCTGGGGTCGCCAGTCCATCGCAGGGCAACACAGAGACAAACAAGCATTGACTCACACACTCACACCTAAGGACAATCTAGAAGCCAATTAACCCAACAATCATGTTTTTTGACTGAGGGAGGAAGGCGGAGTACCCGGAGAGAACCCACACATGCTCAGGGAGAAAATGAAAACTCCATGCAGAAAGACCCCGGGCCGGGAATCAAACCCAGAACCTTCTTGCTGCAAGGCAGCAGTGCTACCCACTGCTACACTGAGCAGTCCGTCATGGGAAAGCTTTAGTAATAATTTAACTTTACATTGATTATAATATTTTATGATATGTTTCTGCCTTTTACATAATTCTTGCTGCTATGATGCCATTTTCTTTCATTGCCAGATGCCTGCTAATAAAAACCTTGTTACTCACTAGTCTGCTGAATGGAAACTAAATTTTCTGACTCACCTACTTTTTGATGAATTCTCCGATGGTTTTTTGGCAACACTAGTGTTAGAATCTGCTACCCTGCCCTTCACAGCCGGGTATCCAAAGGGTTCAGCTCTCAGCCTGGAGACAAAAGCAAATACAAAAAAGAAGAAAGACACTACAATTTAGACACGTGGTGCTTAAATGAGGTTAACCCTATCCTCTGATGTATCTAGTTATTAAAAATCCATGTCGTAATTAATTAATCTTAAAAAAACTACAGCCTTTACATATAGCAAAGCCGGCGGTCATGCAGAACAATAGGATAACTTCAAAACATCCACATCTACAGCAGGGTCTCCAGCGAGCTGCAGCAGCTTTATATCTGAAATGAAGTGAGATTATAAGGTGATTAAAGGTGGGGGAAGCCATTGTCACCTACCAGAGCTGGCCGACTCCACCCTCAACCAGAGAGCCCTTTCTGGCCCAACAGCAGGAGGATCCACTTGCAATACGTTCTGTGTATAAATAATTGTAATTTTGTGCCATTGAACTGCATGGGTGCTGTGCAATAAAAAACAATACATACCTGTCTTATGTTGATAAGCTGGACTGGAGAGGGTAAATTACAAACACACCCCAGTATCAAACAGGAGACTTCTGGCAGCTTCTAAATGTAAACAAAAATAATTAACAATCTAAAACTGCCAGTCTCATTACTTACTGATTTTAGTGTTTCGACTACTGCAAGTTAACCAAGCGACCTTCCCAATAATGTGCAACCAAATACAGGCATGAAGAAAGCAGGTGAGAGAGTCTGCCTTTATACTCACAACCGTTGAGGTAATGAGGTGCCAGGTGTCCTCAATTCTGGGGCAGGCTTCATCCTGCTAAAGTGTGAAACAGGTAAATATGTGGCTAGGGCAGCCAGACCTGAATAACAACGGACGGACAGCAGCACCTACACTTGAGCAGTTGATTGATTGTTAAAAAGTTGACATCAAGAACAGAAAGAGAGGAAAACGAAGATAAAGAAATAAGATTATCTCTGACTTATGGAAGTCGGTGTCGAGGAAATGTCCAAGATACTGTTGGAAAAACCCGTGGATTCAAGAAAGAACTTTGGACAGAGACTAAGGCGGGTAGACACAGCTGTGCTGTGAATGGACCAGAGTGGGGAAATAATATAGATAACGAGAGTGAAGGAAGCAGTGAAACATAGAGTAGTGAAAGTATGAATCCATAAATAGGAAATACTTAATCGAAAGCAGGTGTGGGAAAGAGGGGCAGAGTAGGGAAAAACTGAGGTGAATCTGAAGAAGAAATTAAAGAGGAAAAAAGGGAATTCAAAGTAATCGTTAGAGTTAACTAGAAAAAGTCTTTGCAAACGATCAGTCCAGTGAAACTATCCGCGATTCTAAAGAATCAAGTGGGGGACATCACTAATGTAGAAGTTTTAAGAGATGGAAACTTAAAGATAAATTGTAATACAGAGGAATAAAAAGACAGAGCATATAGGATGAAAGAAATTGGAATTTATAAAGTGAAAAGCATGAGTCTGGTACAAGAAGGAAGCAACAACAGGAAGAAACCTATATCAGAACCAGGCTAAGTGTGAGCGCCCATCTGCTGAGGCCGACTGGGGTTCAAGGAGACAGAAGCAGACATAGAAAAAGAAGCATAGATACAAAAAAGCAGACAGAATCTGAGCCAGCTCCCATGCTAGCGGATGAAGCTAGCACATCCAGAGAAACAGCATCTATAAACAACATCTAGAAACAAAGGTGTTGATGGCAGCAGCACAGCTGATATTTCTCTCCAGGATGGAGTCCCAGCCAAACAGGAACAGACCAGATGAAGCTACTATGAGAAAAAGCAGAGAGAGCAGAACGTTAGAGATTGAACTAACAGATTCTGCAGAGTGGGAGAATAGAGATAGAATGAAGCAGAATGATGAAAAAGGGGTCCCTATGTCCTCCAGCAGTCTAAGCCTATAGCAGCAGAACTATAGAGATAGATCAGGATAACCTGAGCCACTCTAACTAGAAGCTTTATCAAAAAGGAAAGTTTTAAGCCTAGCCTTAAAAGTCGATAAGAAAGTTGGTTAAAACCCCAATTAGAATCTTAAATTATTTTCCAATTAGGTTTGGTCGGAGTGAAGGTAATGCTTTTGAATGTGCCATTTTTATTAGGGCAGGGCTGTAGTTTAGAGTCGTTAAGAGAGGAAATGAGAATACATTTTTAGTTGTGGAGAATTGGATAAATGCAGTTCCATTTATTATAATAAATCATTTGATAGATGATAAATCATTAGAGTAAGATACATTGAAAGAAATTCAGGGGAAAGATAAACATACAGTTATTTGGTGTGCAGATTTTAATGCCCAAAGCTATTTATGGGGAGAGCAGGGAACTGATTGAAAGGGAGATATAATAGAACAGCTGTTGGAAGATAATCAATTAGTGTGTATGAATGATGGGAGGGGAACAAGAATAGATGTAAATACAGGAGAATGCTCAGCTATAGATTTAACTCTGGTGTCCATAGATTTAGCTGGAATATGTGAATGGGAAATACAGCAAGAAACAACAATAGGTAGTGATATTAACCAATTTTTTGTAAAATCCTTATTTCTAAAGAGAAGACGATGGAAGGAAAGCAGGAAAGATGGATATTTGGTAAGCCAAAATGGAATATATTTAAAAACTATAAATGTGAGAAATACATGAATTAAGACAATTTAAATCAAGATATAGAAAGTATAGAGGGAAAGATTAAAGAAGCACAAACAACAGCTCCTATAAGTAAAGGTAAGAACAAAATGAGAGAGGTACCTTGGTGAACACAGGAGTTCAGTGAAGCAATAAGGAAAGGAAATCAAGATTTTTGAAGGTTGAAAAGAACACACAATTTTCTACACTTAAGTGAATAAAAAAGATGAAGTAGGTGCAAGGGAAGTTATTAAGAAGGCAAAGAAGTCAAAATGGAGAGATTTTTGTGATTTAATAGGTTTAACAACTCCTATAGCTAATATATGGGGAATGATTAAGAAAATGAGGGGAAATAGACAGGAGAGAACATCCCCAATTCTAAAACATGAAGGAACAGCAGAAACAGATGAAGAGAAAGTAAAGGAATGGCAGAAACATTGGCAAAGATCCATAGTTCAGATAATTTAACAGAACTGGAGAAAGTTCGGAGGGAGCAGACAAGAAGGACAAAATATTTAATTTTAGAAGGTGAAAGAATTCCAGGTAATGTCATGGATGTCATTTTGTTTATGCAGAACAATTATTGATAAAAGTAGGTAAGTAATGACAATGAATAAGATTTTCACCCCAGAACTCAAACTGGAGAGAATTTTCTCCTCTACACCTTTAATTTAGATGGCATGGATGTTTAAATATATACATCTAGTTGTTAGCAAAGGCTGTAGGACGGTCTTTATTTGGAAAATATGGATGATGTTGTTTATTTTCCTGTTGGAACAGTCTAGATTCAGTTTCTGGCTCCTATCCGCTTTTGGCCACCCCTCAGTGTACATTGGTTACTGCCTCGCCACCCTAATTAACATTTCCTGGCTACGCCTCTGAAGGTCGTCATTGAGTTCATATACAAAAGAAAGTAGGGAATATGGAAATAATGACAAGATTGTGGCTTGGACATACTGGATTAAATAAAACTTTACATTTAATAGGTAAACATCCAACTGGTAGTTGAAAACAATACAACATTTAAAAATTCATTGTGAAAAACACACAGTAAGTAGAGAGATTAGGAAGAAATTAGGAAGTATGACATAGAGACACTAAAACTAAAATAAAAAAATATATCTTAAAATTATTTAAAAAAATAAATATATATTAATTAAACATAAAATAAATAAGCATTTTAAAAATGTGTGGAGGAAACAGGATTATTTAGAAGAATTTAGATTCGCATGTCAGCGAACCAGAAGTAAAACAGACACACAAAAATGGAGGCGCAAAGTGTACTGCTATGAGAGAATACGCCCATGTGTCAGCTACAACCATGGAGGATGA